TGTGGCGAAAAATCAGCTTCGGCCACATTGAAGCGCCCGCGCGCCAGCGCGGCCTTTGACAGGGGGTGGGACGTTCCATGGGTGAGCGCAATCGTGCCCGCATCGGCTGTGCCAAACCAGCTGGCCGCTCTGTGCGCGAGCTTGCCACCGCGGCCGAAGAGATGCGTCAGCCATGGCCGCACAGTCATCGCAATCGCCGCCACATGGGTTCGTTGGAGGATGGGATGATTCATCGAGTAGTGGAAATAGCAGTTTCAGGTTCATAGTTACCACCTAGACTGCACCGCGCAGACCGCACCACTTAATTCTCCTTTCTAAACAGAATAGGATTTCCCCCCCTCCCCCGGCGTTATCGACACCCCTTTCGGGTATGTAAATCATATGTGACTCTGACCACATGTCCATCCTAAATATGAATTTACAATATCCCAGGCCAGCCGGGTTCCCCCCCCTGAGGTTCCTTGGTTAAAAAAACACTATGCGGTGACATTTGTTGCTCAAACATCGCATTTTTTCACGAACCCCTTGCAAAAAATGGGACGAAGTGCGCACGCGCGCGTCGTCGCGCGCGCATGCCGAAATCCTTCGAAAACCTTCGGTGCCGGAAAGGTTTCGCAATCGAGTTCCCAAAAAACATACAAAAACACAGGGTTTCGCAACATTGATTTGCTAAACAAGCTTCCGCGCGAGCTCTTGCGAAATCTTAAGAAAACCATGGTTTTTTCAAGATCTTCACAAAATTCTATTAAACGGGCTTCGCGCGCGCGCATGTCGAAATCAGTCGAACGCCCTTGCGGGTGTACCGTCGAATCCTCTGCAAAAAAATTGACGAAGTGCAGACGCGCGCGTCGTCGCGCGCGTACGCCGAAAACCTTCAAAACCCATCGGTTTCGGAAGGATTTCAAAATCGTGTGTCCAAAAAACCTACAAAACCCAAGGTTTCGCAACTCGCATTTTCAACAAAAGCGTGCGCGCGCGCTCTTGCGTCGTCGTCGTCGTCGTCGTCGTCGTCGCCGTCCTCCCTCCTCCCGCGTCGTCGTCGTCGTCGCCTACGTCGTCCTCTGTCTTTCGTCGTGTTCGTCGTCGTCGTCCTCTTTGGCGTCATGGTCGTTTCCGTCGTCGTTGTCGCCGTGGTCGTCCTTCCTCTTCCTCCCTCGTCGTCGTCGTCGTCCGTCGTCGGCATCTCGTCGTCGTCCCTCCTACTTTGTCGTCGCCGTCGTCGTCGTCGTCGTCGTTGTCGTCGTCGTCTTCCCTCCTCCCTCGTCGTTGTCGTCGTCGGCGTCGCCGTCCTTCCTCCTTCTTCGTCGTTCGTGTCGTCGCCGTCCTCCCTCCTCCCTCGTCGTTGTCGTCGTTGTCGTCGTTGTCGCCGTCGTCGTCCTTCCTCCTCCCTCGTCGTCGTCTTCGTTGGCGTTGTCGTCGTCTTCGTCGTCGTCGGCGTCGGCGTCGGTGTCGTCGTCGAAGTCGTCGGAAACGTCGTCGATGTCGTCGTCGTCGTCGTCGTCGTTGTCGTCGGTGTCGTCGTAGTCGGTCTTAAGAGGTTTTGCAAACCAAGTTGCGGGTGGGTGGGTGGGATGTTTGCGCGAGCCAGTGGAGATGACGACTTCAAGTTCAGCAGAGTGGGCTTACACCACATAGCTTGCACCACGCAGCTTGCACTGCGTAGCTTGCACTTCATAGCTTGCGCCTCATGGTTGGAGCCCGCGCTGGCTAGCACGCTAGATATTTATAGTGCTGTTGTTGGTTATTATTGTCATTATGCCTATTGTGATTACTATCGATATCCCTCTCCCAGGCCCTCCTCGTCCGCGCACGTGCCTCGGGCCATGATGCGCCAACCCCCCCCCCTCTCTCTGGCCCCCTCCTCCGGCGCACGCGAGCTCCGTGCGTGGGCAAAGACTGCGCCGCCGACGCCACAGCGGCGTCGCCCCAACATACTAGTGCTATGAGGGGCGTTCCAAAAACGGCCTTGCCTTCGAGGGTCGAAGGACTTGTCATCTCTTCCTCGGCGGAAGGCGGCGGAAGGGCGGGGTCGGCGGAGGTAAAACGAGGCCGCCTCCGCCGGCGGAAGCCGGCGGAGGCCGGCGAAACCTGCGGCGGAAGTAAAAGATTTGCCCCCAAGAGATAAAACGTTTTTGGCTTCAGGGTTCCCGAAATCGCCCATGTGTGCGTAGCCCCCCAGGGGCGACGCGCGCACTGGGAAATCTTACAGTATACGCGTCGTGGCGGGCTCTTTCTGGCCACACCGCTCGGAAACGATATACTACAAGACTGATATACTATATGGTCGGGTCGGACGCGCGCCTCCAAGGAGGACATATAGTGTTAGTCTGTCTCTTTGCGACCCACCATAGCCAGGCCAGCCCGTGCACACGCGCGCTGACCATCCAGGGAAGCCCCCGTTTTGAGCCGGCGCTTCCTCGGCGAAGGCCCGCGCGGATTTCATCGGATTTCTCGGATCGGCGCTGGATCCCCCCGCGGCGCCTGCGGGGCCGCCCCTTGCGCGCTCCGCCCGCCAGGGAAGGGGGTCCAGCGCAAATCTGCACAGACCTCTGAAAGTTTACGTTTGCGCGGTCTTCTTTTCCAGTATCGCACGGGGGCGTCGAGAGGCACGGCGGGAGCGCAGCTGAGCTCCACAGCAGGATCTCGCATGGTTCAGCGGAAAGCTTGTGGATGCAGAAGACCTGGGGTGGGTGGTACCGGTTTCCGATCATGCCTCGTCGCTTGTTTCCAGGCCTGCTGGAATGGTGCTGGAGGCCCTGCGGCTTGCTGCTTGCTGCTGGGGCTCCTGGCAGAGCGAACACACACATGAGTTCACATGGTGCTCAAGAGAATACGTTAAGCGGATTTTCCTAACATGAGGGCGGCCTCGCGAAGTCGCCGCTCAAGGCGCTGCTTGCGTCGAGCATCTGTTCCAGGCGTGCGCATGAGCATCAACGCGTTTGTGTGTGCGCGTGTGCATCGGACTCTCTGGTCACGCACTTCCGCTCCTGGGCAGTGCGAGTGCGCCTTCGGGCGCTACCTGGGCCTGGTTGACCTCGACCGGCTCGCCGTCCTGAGGGTAAGTACCTCTTCCGACGTGCTCGGACCCTTCCCCACGACCTCGTCGCGCCCAGGCCGCCGCCCGCCGACGAAGGCCTCCACGGTCTAAGTCTGCCCTTTCGCCTCCTGCCCCCCGCGGTCGCTCTGCCCCGCCTTCCCCGCTCCCTCGAGGGGCCTGGTGTCATTGAGAGCAAAAGAACCCCTGCCCATAGTAACACGATGAAGGCGTGGCCTCACTGAGGTCCCCGTCACCACATCGCGGTTTGGCCTGGTGCATCTGCAGAAAAGACCTTTTTATCCCTGATGCTTCTGGTCCTCCTGACTTAGGTCCCCTCCCAGAGGATTAGGGGTACTTTTCTGGTTAATCATGATGAGTCGCTCAGCGCCCGTGAGCCGCTCGACCAGACCGCGCGCTCGTCGGGCCCGCGGCAGCCAAAGTGTGCAGCGGACTCCCCCGTTGCCGCGGCGGCGCGCACACGGTTCACGCGGTCGCGCGGCATCTGCGCGGCAGATTGGCGATGCTTTCTCGAGCGGACGCCGAGGATGGTTGTTCGAGAGCAGGCTCAAAAAAATTGTTTCGGGCGAAAGGCAATGTTGGAATCAGCACTTTCCCTTAGCTTCGAAGGGGCCCCAGCGCCGATCCGACAAGTCTGCACGGAGCTCCGAAAGTCTGTGTGTTCACGCGGCCCTGTCTGCTTCCACAGGGAACAGTCGTTTGCCCCGTCTCACAGCCTGGTGGCCTCGGGGAGGTTGGCTGACCTCCATGAGCTAGGGGGGAGCCCGCCCCACGTTCTGGAGACCATCGAGATCGGCGTAGCGGTTCGCACACCACGGGGTGGAGGTATGAGCGCTGCGCTCCCGCCCCGCGAGCCGGCACCAACGGTAGCGCCTGCTTGCTTCCGTTCTCGGTCCCGCAAGTGAGGTGGTCGGTTCCGGCGGGGCGGGCGGTTGCAAGGCTTTCGTAACCGGTGCCATGTTGTTGTGCCGGGTGGTCCACGTGAGAACGGTTCTTCCAAGCGTTGAACCATTTTGCCCAGGCTCGATACTCCATCGGCGTGTAGAGAAAGCCGACGTGCCAAACCTGGTGGTCGATGTTGCCAAAACGTCGTCCGACGCTGGCTTGATGACGGCAGACACTCGCGTATAAATGCGCGGTTCAAAGCCACATGAGGTCGAGGCGTTGGTCTGATGTCCGCAGCGGTGACAAGTGCCGTTGCCATGCTTTCCGGTGGTGTTGTTAATGTGTGGTGAAGATGGCGATGACAGTGTTGACGAGTTAGTTTATTGTAGGCGTTTGCGATGGTTGTTCATGTTTGCTAGCGGTGCGGATGCAGATAAACGAACGAATTGTTTATGGATATGCATTAAAAACGGGGCGAACGAACGACATATTCATAGACTAACGGCAAAGACACATATTGAAACAGATATTGCAGACAAACAGACACAGAGACGGACAGAGATGGACAGACGGACGCACGGACAGCCAGGCAGACAATCAGACAGACAGACATGTAGATGGATTGTTGATGTCTCTGTTGGTTGCGTTGTTACATCTGTGTAAATATGTGTATATATGTCTATATCTCTATACATATATATATATATATGTATGTGGTATGCGTTCTGCAGCTATTCGACGCATTTTGATATCTTTCCACGCGTACATGCTCCGTGACGCGCTCCCTAGAGATGGCTCGTGACAGTTTGTAGCGATTTCTGTAACCTGGCCATCGGCGACGTTCTAAGTGGGAGCGGCTTGACTTTGCAGCCGCGAAATCATGGGCCTTCCCATTGCGGAGATCGTGAAGCTTCAAAGAGACGTGCGTGCAGCTGGGTAGCGGAGCATCCGCCATGTTTCCAAGCCGAAGTCAGACGAAGCATAGTTACCGCGTGCGCAGCCAGCCGTGACGGCCCCGCACGCAAGCTTTCCCCTTCTGTTCTCTCGCAATTCGATTGTCGGCTCAAGGCACGGTGCGGCCGCATTCTTCCGGTATTGGTATACATGTAGGCCGGAGGCAATCTCGGCGACGGCACGCACGCGTCTCCTCTTTGGGGGAGACGCCCCGCCGCACGCAGCGGCGCGAGCGTCAGGGGCTCGCAGTTTTAACTCGTGGGGTCTGGAGACCGTTCACTGGAGGGTGTAGCATACAGGATGGGCACGGGAATGGAGTCGAGACCATACATTACTCGTTGCATCGTTCGGCGCACTCCTCGCGCCAAAAGAGAAGCGCAGCCTACCGCGCTGAGATGGTTCAAGGGCAGTTCTCCCGTGGAGTCATCGTGGTTCTGCCATGTTCTGCGGGGACTTGCTTCAGTCCCCGAGACGCTCTTAGGCCGCTTTGGACGCAGAGGACCAGTACGGTTGAAAGAAACAAGCTTGCACCACCTGGGCGACACGACAACTGATGATACGACCCCCTTGCCCCCGACCTTAGCATTGAGAGCGGACGCGCACGCTGAAATGGGATGTACCTTTATTTGTTCGAAGGGCCCCGGGAGATGTCACAAATATCAACATAAAAGGCGGGGGCGCGGGGGAGCAGCAGTGCCATCCGATTCGCAGCTCAACCCGAAATGGTGCAAATATTTTTCTCTCAGCAGTAGGGCCCCTTTGGGGCTGTCCAGGAGTCCCGGATGCGTTTTCGGGCCGTGGGCCGATTTTGGTCTGTTGTGCGTGGCCTTCGGGTGGGAGTCTGGCTGCCGCCTCTTTTGCGCCAGCTCGTCGTGGGGCTGGTTGTGGTCTCCATATGGGGGCCACGAGCGAACCCCCCCCCTCCCCCTCAGAAATCGCGTGGGGTAGGGGGTAGGGTTCGCATGTGGCCCCCTGCAGTTGCGTGCTGAGGGCGAAGGGTTGGGGCCATCTTGGGAGTTGACACGCTGGTCGTTGAAAGTAAATATTTCTGGGCTATCAGATCCCCATCTACTTCAAGCGTCTTCCTATTTCAAGAATCGGCATGCATTGCCGTGTGTTGTTATTCTCTGCGAGGACCTGAACCAAATCCACTTTATCCGCCCTCCTACTTCATGCTTCTACCTACTTCTTCCTACCAGCGTGTGTTCCCTGAACAGCTTGTCCGCAAGGACTATGCGGATCGTCGTTCGCAGCAGTGGCCCGGGGAGCCTTTGCAGGCTCTGGGAATCGGTGAGTTGATGTCGGGGAACGAAGAATGGCACAACCACGATAACTTGGAGGTCCTTGCGGATTTCTTGGATCCGCGCTGGACCCCCCTCCCTGGCGCGCGGAGCGCGCCAGGGGCGGCGCCGGAGGCGCGGCCAGGGGGCCTCAGCGCCGATCCGAGAAATCCGCGCGGACCTCCGAGTTATTTTTTGCTCACTCATGTCATTCTCATCATGTGTCATCACGCCTCAGCCAGCACAGTGAAAGGATTCGCACTGCCGCTGCAAATTGCCCCTACACACGACAGCGCTAAGCAAGCTTGATGCACGGGGTTCCTCTCGAAGCGCGCCGCCGAGGGAGGGGAGCAGGACCCAGAGGGGAGGAAAAGAAGGGGTCTCCCGTACGGTCTCGCGCTTTCCCGCATGGTTTCCCGCACGTTCTCCCGTGCGGTTTCTTGCATGGTCGCTCCTAGGGTCTCCCGTGTATGGTCTCCCGCATGGTCTTCCGCAGGGCCCCCCCGCATGATGTTCTGCACGGTCTCCCGTGTGATTTCCCGTGTGCTCTCTCTCATATGGTCTCCCGCATTGCTCTCCCGTGTGGTCTCGCGCATGTTCGTCTGTATTGTTTTCCGTGCGGCATCCCGTATGCACCATCGGATACGAGATGTCAGTGACGTTTAGTGGTGTGTTGTGTGTGCGTGCGTGCGTGTGTGTTGTGTGTGTGCATGCGTGCGTGTGTGCGTGTTTGTGAGAGAGAGAGAGAGAGCGTTTGTGTGTAGGCGTGTGTGTGTGTGTGTTGTGTGCGGGTCTGCATGTGTGTGTGTGTTTGTGTGTGTGTGTGTTTGTGTGTGTGAGTGTGTGTGTGTGTGTGAGTGACTGTGTGTGGTGTGCGTTCGGCCTCACAAGAGATGTCCGAGAAGTTTTAATGTTTTCCTCATATCCGAAGGGTGGGGTTCTTATTATTGTTGACGCTTCGCGAATCCCCATCAGCCAACACGCCGTGTGCGCTTTCGCCCGCGGCCGCGACAAACAAAGAATCCCCACCAGCCCATCCAGAAACGATGCCCAGAGGAATTGCCTCGATCAGGGAAGTGGGCAGCACACAGAGGAAGCCATTATGAGACATCTTGGGATATCTTGAGCCATCTTGGAGGTCATCTTGGGCTCTCCCAGGCGCTCTTCGAGTCATCTTAATCAGTGCCCCCCCAAGAGGCCAACATGTGGCTAAAACCTTCGTAAAATCAATGATTTGGCATTCTCGCCGAGGCCTCTTGGAGCATCTTGGGTGCCTCTGACGGGTCTCCTGGGGCCTCTTGGGGGTCTCTTGGGAGCCTTTTTGGGGGCATCTTGGGGGCCTCTTGGGGCTTCCTGGCCACCTCTAGGGGCCCTCTTGGGGCACCCTTGGGAGCCTTGGGGGCCATCTTGGGTGAGATCGATCACAGGAGGGGGGGGTCTAATTAGCGCCCCCCCCCCCCCCCCCAGGAGGCCAGAATGGGGCCAAAGCCGTAGTAAAACCAAGGATTTTGGCTTCCTCGCCGAGGCCGTGTTGGACGCTCCGACGACTCGCGGGGCCCCTTGTCCAGGTCCAGGGGAGAGGGTAGGGGGATGGGTAAACCCCTCCCCGACGGGGAAGAGCAAACTGTCTAAACCACCTACGCCCAGAGGGCTGGTGGGATTACTCTGACCGCACCGACTCCTTCAGGTTACTTCCTCCCCTCATCCTTCTCTTCCCCATCCGACTCAGAGTATGAGGATGATGATGATGATGATGATGATGATGATGATGATGATGATGATGATGATGATAATGACGATGATGATGATGATGATGATGATGCTAATGCTGATGCTGATGCTGATGCTGATGCTGATGCTGCTGCTGCTGCTGCTGCTGCTGATGATGATGATGATGATGATGATGATGATGATGATGATGATGGTTATGATGCTGATGGTGTTGATGACCAGAGGGGGCCAGATTGCAAGGATGTCTCGAGCGGTTTGCCTATTTTGGTGGCCAGACTCGTCTGCGCTCAGAGCAGATCCTGAGGATGTCTCAGGCGGTTTGCTGGTTCTCGCATTCCTCAGGGGGGCTTGTACGTACGTACGTATGTACGTATGTACGCATGTACGTATGTACGCATGTACGTATGTATGTATGTATGTATGCATGCATGCATGCATGCATGCATGCATGCATGCATGTATGGATGCATGTATGTATGTATGTATGTATGTATGTATGTATGTATGTATGTATGTATGTATGTATGTGTGTATGTGTGTATGTGTGTATGTGTGTATGCATGTATGCATGTATGCATGTATGCATGCATGCTTGTAAATAGTTGTGTGCTTGTGTGTGCCTGTGTATGTAAGAGTGTGTGTGTGTGTATAAGCATATGCGTACGTATGTGTAATTTTACCAGTGCACATGTATTGTGATTCGGAAAAAGAATAACCCAACTGAACCCCAAGAGATAGCATGAGGCTGTGGGAGGCCCCAGGAGGCCCGAAGGCGCCCCAGGACGACCCAGGAGGCCTTAGGAGGCCCCACCAGACCCCTACAATATTTCAGGAACCCTGAGGAGGTTCCAGGATGTCTCACGAGATGCCAGGAGACCCCAGAAAGTCCCAGGAGTCCTGCCATAGGAGATCCCTTAAGGTGCCAGGAGGCCCTAGAAGGCCCCAGGAGGCGCCAGGGTGCCCCAAGAGGCACCAGGAGGCACCAAGATGCCCGATGCTCGCTACCCCCACTTCCCCTCTTTTTTTTTGTCTCTCTCTTTCTCTCTCTCTCTCTCTCTCACCACCTTCGCTCCCCTCCCATTCTCTCTCGCTCCCCGCTTCCTCCCCCCCTCCTGCTCTCCCTATCATGCTCCTTTCTTCCTCCCCCTCTGCCTCTCCCCCCTCTCCCTTGCTATCTCCTCCTCCTCCTCCTCCTCCTCCTCCTCCTCCTCCTCCTCCTCCGCCCCCGCCCTACTTCCCCCCCTTTCCTTTCTTCTCTCCCCCCCCCCCTCGCGAGGCATTGCAGTCATGGGCCGCCCGCGCCTCTCCGCCGCGCCGGCGCGACTGCTGTCCCTTGCGGCCGTGGCCCCGCGCTCGGCGGCGGACGGGCTCCCGGACGCCCTGCCGGGCCCCCGCCAGGAGGGCCGACATCAGCACCCTCCACGAACGGTGCGGAGATCATACCGTGTGGCGAGCCAGTGGGGACCAGCGGGTGGATTCAGAGTTTGCGAACGCCTTCGTCGGTTCCTGTGGGTTGTCTTGCCTCGGGATGCGCTCCAGCAGCTGCGCCTTGCCGAGAGCGTTCCGGGGGTGCCCGGATCGTCTCGAACGGCCGCCTCAGACAAAAGTTATAGCACAAAAAGCAAACATTCGGAGGAGAGCCGGCGTGGTGAGTCAGTGGGGATTCGGGGTGGCCGCACGGTTTGGGGACTCGGGTTGCTTTCCGGGGATGTTTCGGGCGGCTTGGGTCTCCGAGGTCCCAGATCGGTGCGGTGACCGACCGTGCGGTGAGGTCTCCAGGGATTCGGAGGTCACCGCACGGTCTGTCACCGCACCGTTTCGAGATCCCTAACGAAAGCCACCCAAAATTTCAATTTCAAGAAGAATTTTCTGGTGGCAGTTGCGCTGATGATGTGGGCGCGCCGACATCGCCTGGGGGAACGCAAGGATCGAGCTTGCCAGTGCGCGAGTTGCTGCCCCTTTTTGGGCGGTCCCAGCTCGATTGTCGACGGCCACTTTGTGTGAGAGATGCTCGCAGTGGCGCGAGGGCGCGCGTCGAAATGCAGATCGAGTCGCGCCATTTCCCTGATGGCCCCCCGTCAGGCAGGGCCGAGTCCTGCAATGCTGGAGCCACTTTTTGCCTCCCCGGTCGGAGGAGCCTCCGCCCCGATGCCCCAGAGTAGCCAGGACCTCCGCTCTCTGGGAGGCCCGGCCTCCGCTCTGGAGGCGCCAGGGCCTCCAGCGTGGAGGAGGAGGAGGAGGAGGAAGTGGATGAGGAGCAGGAGGAGGAGGAGGAGCACTGCGAGGAGGAGGCGGCGAAGGAAGAGGAGGAGGCGGAGGAGGAGGAGGAGGAGGAGGAGGAGGAGCATTGCGAGGAGGAGGCGGCGGAGGAAGATGAGGAGGCGGAGGAGGAGCCTCCCCAGCATCGAGCCCCCTGCTCGGGCGACGACGACGACGACGACGACGACGACGACGACGGCAGCGAGAGGTCGGCGACGGCGGCGGCGGCGGCGACGACGGCGGCGAATTGCGGGGAAGGGCGGCGGCGAAGGGCAGCGAAGGGTGGTCGCGAAGGGCGGCGGCGAAGGGCGGCGATAGGCGTTGGCGAAGGGCGGCGAAAGGCTGTGAAGGGCGACGTCCACTGCCCCTCCTGGGACCGCCCCGGGTCCCAGGAGGGGCAGTGGAGGGCGTGAGTAAACACCGCCCCGGGTCTCAGGACGGGCATGGCCGGGGGCGGCGTCGTTCGTCGTCGTCGTCGTTCGTCGTCGTCGTTCGTCGTCGTCGTCATGGTCGTTGTCGTCGTCGTTCGTCGTCGTGGTCATCGTCGCGGTCGTCGTTCGTCGTCGTCGTCGTCGTCGTTCGTCGTCGTCGTCGTCGTCGATCGTCGTCGTCGTCGACGTCATGGTCGTCGTCGTCGTTGTTCGTCGTCGTGGTGGTCGTCGTCGTCGTCGTTCGTCGTCGTCGTCGTCGTTCGTCGTTCGTCGTCGTCGTCGTCGTCGTTCGTCGTCGTCGTCATGGTCGTCGCGTCGTCGTCGTCGTCGTCGTCGTCGTTCGTCGCGTCGTCGTTCGTCGTCGTCTTCGTCGTCGTCGTTCTCGTCGTTCGTCGTCGTCGTCGTCGTCGGTCGTCGTCGTTCGTCGTCGTTCGTCATGGTTCGTCGTCGTTCGTCGTCGTGGTCGTTGTCGTCGTCGTTCGTCGTCGTCGTTCGTCGTCGTTCGTCATGGTCGTCGGTCGTAGTTCGTCGTCTTGGTCATCGTCGTCGTGTCGTCGTTCGTCGTCGTCGTCGTCGTGCGTTCGTCGTCGTCGTCGCGTGGTCGTGGTGTCGTCGTCGTTCGTCGTCGTCGTGGTCGTCGTCGTCGTGGTTCGTCGTCGTGTCGTCGTGGTTCGTTCGTCGTCGTCGTCGTCGTCGTCGTGGTCGTGGTCGTCGTCGTTCGTCGTCGTCGTCGGTCATGGTCGTCGTCGTCGTTGTTCGTCGTCGTGGTCATCGTCGTCGTCGTGTCGTTCGTCGTGTCGTCGTTCGTCGTTCGTCGTCGTCGTCGTCGTTCGTCGTCGTCATGGTCGTCGTCGTCGTTGTTCGTCGGCCGTCGCGTCGTTCGTCGCCGTCGTCGTTCGGTCGTCGTCGTTCGTCGTCGTCGTCGTCGTTCGTCGTCGTCGTCGTCGTCGTCGTGGTCGTCGTCGTCGTCGTCGTGGTCATCGTGTCGTCGTCGTTCGTCGTCGTCGTCGCGTTCGTCGTCGTCTTCGTCGTCGATCGTTCGTCGTCGTCCGGTCGTCGTCGTCTTGTTCGTCGTCGTGGCGTTCGTCGTCCGTCGTCGTCGTTCGTCGTCATCGTCGTTCGTCGTCGTCGTCGTCGTCGTTCGTCGTCCGTGTCATGGTCGTTGTCGTCGTCGTCGTCGTCGTCGTCGTCGTTCGTCGCGTCGTCGTTCGTCGTCGTCGTTAGTCGTCGTCGTCGTCGTCGTTTTCTCGTCGTCGTTCGTGGTCGTCGTGGTCGTCGTCCTCGTCGTCGTCGTCGTGGTCGTCGTCGTCGTCGTTCGTCGTCGTCGTCGTTCGTCGTCGTCGTTCGTCGTCGTCATCATGGTCGTTGTCGTCGTCGTTCGTCGTCGTGGTCATCGTCGCGGTCGTCGTTCGTCGTCGTCGTCGTCGTTCGTCGTCGTCGTCGTCGATCGTCGTCGTCGTTGTCATGGTCGTCGTCGTCGTTGTTCGTCGTCGTGGTCGTCGTCGTCGTCGTTCGTCGTCGTCGTCGTTCGTCGTCGTCGTCGTTCGTCGTCGTCGTCATGGTCGTCGTCGTCGTTCGTCGTCGTCGTCGTTCGTCGCCGTCGTCGTTCGTCGTCGTCGTTCGTCGTCGTCGTCGTTCGTCGTCGTTCGTCGTCGTCGTAGTCGTCGTCGTCGTCTTCGTCGTCGTTCGTCGTCGTTCGTCATGGTTCGTCGTCGTTCGTCGTCGTCGTCGTCGTGGTCGTGGTCGTCGTCCTTCGTCGTCGTCCTTCGTCGTCGTCGTCATGGTCGTTCGTCGTCGTCGTTCGTCGTCGTGGTCATCGTCGTCGTCGTCGTCGTTCGTCGTCGTCGTCGTGGTTCGTCGTCGTCGTCGTCGATCGTGGTCGTCGTCGTCGTTCGTCGTTGTTCGTCGTCGTCGTGGTCGTCGTCGTCGTCGTTCGTCGTCGTCGTCATGGTCGTCGTCGTTCGTCGTCGTCGTCGTCGTTGTCGTCGTCGTCGTCGTTCGTCGTCGTCGTCGTCGTCGTCGTCGTCGTCGTCGTCGTCGTCGTCGTCGTCGTCGTTCGTCGTCGTCGTCGTCGTTCGTCGTCGTCGTCGTCGTCGTCGTCGTCGTCGTCGTCGTCGTCGTCGTCGTTCGTCGCCGTTGTCGTTTGTCGTCGTCGTTCGTCGCCGTCGTCGTTCGTCGTCGTTCGTCGTCGTCGTCGTCGTCGTCGTCGTCGTCGTGGTCATCGTCGTCGTCGTCGTTCGTCGTCGTCGTCGTCGTCGTTCGTCGTCGTCTTCGTCGTCGATCGTCGTCGTCGTCATGGTCGTCGTCGTCGTTGTTCGTCGTCGTCGTCGTCGTCGTCGTCGTCGTTCGTCGTCGTCGTCGTCGTTCGTCGTTCGTCGTCGTCGTCGTCGTTCGTCGTCGTCGTCATGGTCGTCGTCGTCGTCGTGGTCGTTCGTCGTCGTCGTTCGTCGTCGTCGTCGTTCGTCGTCGTCGTTCGTCATCGTCGTCGTCGTCGTCGGTCGTCGTCGTGGTCGTCGTCGTCGTCGTGGTCGTCGTTCGTCGTCGTTCGTCATGGTTCGTCGTCGTCGTCGTCGTCGTGGTCGTGGTCGTCGTCGTCGTCGTTCGTCGTCGTTTGCCGTCGTCGGTCGTCGTTGTCGTTCGTCGTCGTCGTTCGTCGCCGTGGTCGTTCGTCGTCGTCGTCGTTCGTCGTCGTCATCGTCGTCGTCGTCGTGGTCGTCGTCGTCGTCGTTCGTCGTGGTCTTCGTTCGTCGTCGTCGTCGTGATCGTCGTCGTCGTCGTCATCGTCGTCGTCGTCGCCGTTCGTCGTCGCCGTCGTTCGTCGTCTTCGATCGTCGTCGTCGTCGTCGTGGTCGTCGGCGTCGTCGTCGTTCGTCGTCGTTCGTCGTCGTTCGTCGTCGTCGTCGTTCGTCGTCGTCGTCGTCGTCGTTTGTCGTCGTCGTGCTCGTCATCGTCGTCGTCGTCGTTGTCGTCGTCCTCGTCGTGGTCGTCGTCGTTCGTCGTCGTCGTCGGTCGTCGTCGTCGTCGTCGTCGTTCGTCGTCGTCGTCGTTCGTCGTCGTCGTCGTCGTCGTCGTCGATCGTCGTCGTCGTCGTCATGGTCGTCGTCGTCGTTGTCGTCGTCGTCGTCGTCGTCGTCGTCGTCGTCGTCGTCGTCGTCGTCGTCGTCGTCGTCGTCGTCGTCGTCGTCGTCGTCGTCGTCGTCGTCGTCGTCGTCGTCGTCGTCGTCGTCGTTCGTCGTCGTTCGTCGTCGTCGTCGTCGTTCGTCGTCGTCGTTCGTCGTCGTCGTCGTCGTCGTGGTCGTCGTCGTCGTCGTTCGTTGGTTCGTCGTCGTTCGTCGTCGTCGTCGTCGTTGTCGTCGTCGTCGTCGTCGTCGTCGTCGTTCGTCGTCGTCGTCGTCGTTCGTCGTCGTCGTTCGTCGCCGTCGTCGTTCGTCGTCGTCGTTCGTCGTCGTCATCATCGTCGTCGTCGTGGTCGTCGTCGTCGTCGTCGTCGTTCGTCGTGGTCGTCGTTCGTCGTCGTCGTCGTGATCGTCGTCGCTGTCGTCATCGTCGTTGTGGTCGTCGATGGCGTCGTCGTTCGTCGTCGCCGTCGTTCGTCGTCTTCGCTCGTCGTCGTCGTCGTGCTCGTCGTCGTCGTCGTTCGTCGTCGTTCATCGT